CAGCATGGTGGAGGCCAGTTCCCGCTGCTATGATTCCAAGTGTCCAAGCAGGAACCAGGGAGGATAACGGCTGGGCACCAGAGACACCATATGGTGAGGGAGGGATGTGTCACCTGCACAACCTGAGTTTTCTAAAACAGGTAACCTTATGATACGTAAGGCTAATTTATAGGCCGGGTCTGGATCATGAGACAGCAGAGCTAGGGAACAAATACTGGCAGAAGTATGCATGGAAATGCTCTCTCAGTGGATGACTTCTCCCAGATTGCTGAAAGGGCCACCTTCCAGCAACAAGATGCTCTATTTTTGGAGAGTTTGCACTAAATCTTCCCCCAGTTCCAGCTCTTGGAGTTGGCCGAGGAGCTGCTCCTCATTACCGCACACCTTGTACTATGGGTAGGAGCCTTCAGGCATTACCCTCTGTTGACCCAGGCCCATGGAGGCTGTTCCAGGGCCAATGACAAGTAGGACTCACTGCTGTTTGGGGAGCCTACAGCCACAGGTACATGTTGGTACACAGTGGGTCTGCTTTCATTCATATTAAATAGCCATCATCATTCAGGAGGCAGGCCTCAGTCAAAGTGAGAAACAGGCAGTCAATGGATCCAGGGGGTCCACCAAGCCCTCCAGGTTTGTGATGGTTGTGGTTCCTCTTTCTTCCGACGCTTGTAGATTTTCAGCTGCCACTGCTGCTGCAACCTCAGAGTATTAATAATGGCCACTGTGAGTCTCAGGGCCTCTTTTGGATAACCACAGGAATGTGGGGCATCAATCAGAGCACAGGCTGTGGCACATGCTCAAACCACAGTGGCCGGCCTTGGGAATTAAACAGCAGTCTTGGCCAGGCGCGGTGGCTCATGCCTGTAATCCCAGCACTTTGGGAGGCCCAGGTGAGCGGATCATAAGGTCAGGAGATCAAGACCATCCTGGCCGACATGGTGAAATCCCTTCTGTACTAAAAATACAAAAACTTTAGCTGGGCATGGTGGCGGGCGCCTGTAGTCCCAGGTACTCGGGAGGCTGAGGCAAAAAAATGGCGTGAACCTGGGAGGTGGAGCTTGCAGTGAGCCGAGATGGAGCCACTGCACTCTAGCCTGGCGGCAGAGTGAGACTCCATCTCCAAAAAAAATACAAAAATTAGCTGGGCATGGCGGCACGTGCCTGTAATCCCAACTACTCAGGAGACTGAAGCAGGAGAATCACTTGAACCCGGGAGGCGGAGGTTGCAGTGAGACCAGATTGCGCCACTGCATTCCAGTGCGGCAACAGAGCTACTAGACTCCGTCTCCAAAAAATAAAAAAATAAAAAAATAATTGCACAGATCCCTGAAAATATGATTATGTACATTTTCTTTTTTGTTTTCTTTTGTTTTGGCTTGGTTTTTTGAGACGAAGTTTCGCTCTTGCACCCAGCCAGGAGCAATGGCGCGTTCTCGGCTCACCTGCAACATCCGCCTCCCGGGTTCAAGCGATTCCCCCGCCTCAGCCTTTCAACCAAGTAGCTAGGATTACAGGTTCGCGCCACCAATGCCCGGCTACTTCTCTTTTTTTTGAGATGGAGCTTCGCTCTTGTCACCCAGGTGGAGTGCAATGGTACGTTCTCGGCTCACTGCAACATCCGACTCCTAGCTTCAAGCAATTCTCCCGCCTCAGCCTCCCGAGTAGCTGGGATTACAGGTGCCCGCCACCACGCCTGGCTAATTTTTCTGTATTTTTAGTAGAGACGGGGTTTCATTATGTTAGCCAGGCTGGTCTCCAACTCCTGACCTCAAGTGATCCACCCAGCTTGGCCTCCCAAAGTGCTGGGATTAAAGCATGAGCCACCGTGCCCAGCCTGATTATATATTTTTTCAATAAACATATATGAAAATGGTCTCAGGCCTTTTAATAATTAGAAGACCAAAATAAATAAAAATGTAATAACATTACCCACTAACCAGAATACAGAAAAGACTAACAAAATCAGGTGTTGCAAAGGACATCTAATTAGAATACTCTTAAACTTGTAGTTGGGTTGTATATTAGTCAAAAAAATCTTTGAAATTAAAAAAAATTAATTGATAAATTGTGTGAACTTGTGGTGTACCACATTGTATATATATATTCACACATACACAGACACACATTGTAGAATAGCTAAATCTGTGTATCTTTATATACAGCCCCAGACATACATTGTAGAATGGCTAAATCAAGCTACCTAGCATATCAGTTACCTTAGATACTTATCTTATTATTATTATTTTTTTTTGAGATGGAGTCTCCCTCTGTCACCCAGGCTAGAGTGTAGTGGTGCGATCTCAGCTCACTGCAACTGCCGCCTCCTAGGTTCAAGCGATTCTCCTGCCTCAGCCTCCCGAGTAGCTGGGATTACAGGCACCCGCCTCCATGCCCGGCAATTTTTGTATTTTTAGTAGAGATGGGGTTTCACCGTCTTGGCCAGGCTGGTCTCAAACTCTTGACCTCGTGATCCACTCACCTCACCCTCCCAAAGTGCTGGGATTACAGGCGTGAGCCACCGAGCCTGGCCAATACTTATCTTTTTGTGTGTGTGTGTGGTAAGAACATTTAAAATCTGCTGTCTTAGCAATTTCAAATATTACCACATTGTTATTAAGTATAGTCAACATGTTGTACAACAGACCTCTTGAGCTTTTTCCTCCTAGCTGAAATTTTTAGTGAATGCATTGCATTTGAACATGTGCATTACTATGACCAAGCTATTGTATTTGTAGGGCTGCACTTAACTAAAATATACATGTGAACCAAAAGAAATTAGCAAGAATATTCATAGTGGCTTTTTTGCTAATAGCCCCAAACTGGAAACAAACCAATGTCCATCAACAGTAGAATTGACAGATGTGCCGTAGTCATACTAAGCACTACCGAGCAGGGAAAAGAAATGAACTGCTTCATGAAACCACCTGAAAGAGTGTCACAAATGTAATGCTGGGCCAAAGAAGCCACACACAAAACCATTCCTACCAAATGGCCCTCCATGCATCCATTTATGAAACAGGCAGCACTAACTGGGGCTGCTAAAAACCAGGTAACTCTTCGCTTTGGCAAGACAGATGGGCAGTGGTTAGGGAGCAGACCTTCAGGAGAGGGATTTCCAGATTTTTTTTTTTTTTGAGACAGAGTCTCGCTCTGTCGCCCAGGCTGGGGTGCAGTGGTGTGATCTCGGCTCACTGCAAGCTCCGCCTCCTGGGTTCACGCCATTCTCCTGCCTCAGCCTCCGAGTAGCTGGGACTACAGGCGCCCGCCACCACGCCCGGCTAGTTTTTTGTATTTTGTTTTTTAGTAGAGACGGGGTTTCACCATGTAAGCCAGGGATGGTCTCGATCTCCTGACCTCGTGATCCGCCCGTCTCGGCCTCCCAAAGTGCTGGGATTACAGGCTTGAGCCACCGCGCCGGGCTCCAGATTGTTATTTTTATTTCATTTTCTTGGACTGTGTGGTGGCTACAAGCATGTGTCCTCTTTGTGATAAATCAGAGTAGTAGAATAATAGGATTCCTGTGTATATTATACTTTAATAAATGTATTTGAACTCATTTTTGCCATTAGGACAAATAATATAAATTATAATAAATTTTTGCAATTTTAATATTATTTCTACTTGATGAAAAATAAGTCACCCGAAGGATTCCAAACTTGGGTATTTTAATATAGAACTTATGTGTGCAAATACATATTTCTAGAGATCCACAACTGTCTGATTAATGTCATTTGAGTGTAAAAAAGCGAAGTTATGTTGACAATTTGCTGACTCTCTAATCTTTTACTTGAAGTTAAGCTAATTATCCACATCCATCAATGAAACTGCATTCACGGAAGAGTCCAGTCCATGGCATAAATGATAGGAACCTCAGAAAAGTCATTTCTTCTTCATTATTTATGTAAAAACATGAAATTTCTTAGAAACACAGGCCAGCAAACTCTCAGTTTAGTGTTGCTTCCATTGCTTCCTGTAGTCTTGTTACCAGAGAATATTTTTATGTTCCAGAATTGCACAGAGGGAAGAACTGCCTATTATGGTTACCACTGTGGCCATTGAGAAAGGCACATGATTCCTAGGATCCCAGCAATGACCCTCCCTGGAGGTGAGGGGAATTAAGGGACCTGCTATGGAAATTGTGGGGGCGGAGTACACAGTCTCTACAAAGCTTTCTCTGTGTCTGGTACTTGAAGTCCACAGGCAGTAAAAAAGGGAAGATTACAAAACAGACTGGGAGGGATTCCATGAGCAAGAGCTGAAACCCCATAAAAATAAAGTGAAACCCATGTTCATGAAGCTAAACACAGGCCAGTAACCCAGCAGTCAGAGAAACTAAAGGAAAAATCCAGGGAAAGGCAGAACAATTGTAGGCTCAGCCCCTGTTTCATGCCAATGAGGTAAGTCAGCAGATCCGCAACAAGTGTGTATGTGTGTGTGTGTGTGTGTGTGTGTGTGTGTGTGTGTGTGTGTGTGTAGGCGCGCGCGCGCATGCGCATCTATAGTGGGAACGAGTCATGGCAGGAGGGCTAATGGGAGGAGGAGGTGAGCAGGTGTGTGAAATCCAGCCCTGCCTCACAGACCTAGCACTTTACAGCCTAGCTGAGTCCCCTGCTAGGGAGGGGACCTGCCCTTTGCCCTTTGCTCTCAACCCTCAACCCTCTGTCCGCATCCTCCATCTGCAATGCCAGGACTGCCCTGGATGGGGAGGTCTGAGGTTAGGGAGCACCCGTGGATGTTCCAGTAATGGCCATGGGTCCCGCGGGGGGAGACAGTGACAAGGGTGACCCAGTGTCCTGGGTGCACATGTGAATAAGGCAGCCGGGCCCAGCCAAAGCAGTGACACACACGTACACGTGTTCACCCACATACACATGCATGCTCACATGCACAAACACTGCACACACGCATGTTGACACTTCAGAGTTTGGAGGGTGCTGACTCTGGGCCCAGCTGACCCAGGCAGGGGCCCATTGTGATGGGTGTCATGATCCCACAGTGTCGCTGGTGCTGAGCACTCGCCCCCCTGCCCGCCTGCCGTCTCTATGTCTAGAGCTCTTGGAAACAAGACATAGAGGTGTCTGGTCCTGAGAAGAGGAAGTTTTGCTAAATGAGAGACACGGCTGACTCAGCTGACTCAGGTGAGTGTGACCTGCTCTGTTCCCTCCCTGCTGGCCTGGGGACAGTCAGTACCTGGTGGGCAATGTTGGCCTCTGGGCAGGTGCTGAGGAGAGTCATCCCTGAGCACTCACCAGGTGCCTGTTCTGCACTGACCTGGTGGACTCTGTGGGGTGGGTGCTGTCCCCCAGTGCACCCATTCCACAGGTGAGGTGTCTAGGGTCAGAGAGGCGGTGTCTGGCCAAGGGACCCAGACATGACCCCGGGCTGTGCTCTTAGCCCTGCCCTATGCACGCCCTGACCTCTGTGGCCTCCCTGCCCTAGATTCCAAATCTGCCCGGGGTTTTCCAGCTCCTGATGGGGCAGAGTCTGGCCGTGGAGGAGCCACTGGGATGGAACTCCTATGAGTGGGGTGGAGGGAGGTGGTGCTTGGTCCAAGTCTGTGCCCTAAGCTGAGTTCCCGCAGGAGAAGGTCTCACCAACTCAGACTTCATGTACGGTCACTGATGGTCTCCGTGGGACCCACTGGACACATGGGGTCTCTTGTCTGGGAGTAGGGAGCCCTCTGCCTATGGGCAGTTGTGGTAGGGGACCTTGAGCACTGTTGTTCTGGGGCCTGGGAAGGGGGGACCTGGTCAGGAAGGCCTAGTCGCTGGGGGACTGGTCAGCGAGGACATGGTCAGTGAGGAATTGGTCTTCAAGGGCCTGGTCAGCAGAGGTGTGACCACTGGGGCTTAGTCAACGAAAACCTGGTCAGTGGGGACGTGGTCAGCTGGAGCCTGGTCATCAGGGGCCTGATCAGTGAGGACCTAGTCAGAAGGCCTGGTCACTGGGAAAACGGTCAGTGAAAGCATGGCCAGCAGAAGTCTGGTTAGTGGGGGCCTGGCCAGATAGTTGCTTGGTGACTTCAGGCACGGGGTTTGTCCTTAAAGCCTCCTTGCCTCCATCAGTAGCAGAAATGAGTCATGGCATCCTGGAAGGCTACTGGGAGGAGGAGGTGAGAAGGTGTGCGGAATCAGACCCTGCCACTCACACCTAGCATTTTACAGTCTAGCTGAGTTCCCCCTAATGAGGGGCCCTGTCCCGTGCCCTCTACCCCCTATCCCCCATCTGCATCTTCAGGACTGCCCCGGGTGGGGAGGCCTGAGGTTGGGGAGGACCCATGGATGCTCTGATGCTGGCCACAGGCCTCAAGGGAAGGAGACACTGCTGAGGACTTGATGAGGACTTGGGTGCACATGGAAGTGGGACAGCCAGCCCCGGCCAGAGAGGCTACTTGTGCACACACATGTTCACCCATATAAACGTGCATGCTCACCTGCACAAACACATTTTGACAACTCGGGGACTGGAGGACACTGACACTGGGCTGTCTTGACCTGGGAAATGGGTCCATTGTGACAGGTTCCATGACCCCACAATGTCACTGGTGCTGAGTGACCGCCCACCCACCAACCCACCCACCTCTGTGTTGTGCGGCACTTGGACACAAGACACACACAGGTGTCTGGTTCTGTGCATAAACGACTTTTCTAAGAGAGACACAGCTGCCTCAGCAGACTCAGGTGAGTGACCTCTGGGTAGATGCCATGGAGGGTCATCCCTGAGCACTCACCGGGTGCATGTTCTGCACTGACTGGGTGGGCCATCTTTTCCATTGTCCTCACAGCAACTCCGTGGGGGTGGGTGGTGTCCCCAAATGTAGCCATTCCACAGGTGAGATGTGTAGACTCAGAGAGGCGGTGACTGGCGCAGAGACCCAGATGTGACCTGGTCTCTGCTCTCAGCCCTACCCTTTGCCATGCTGGACTTGAGCTCTGACCTCTGTGGCCTCCCTACTGTAGATTCCAAATCTTCCTGGAGTTCTGGACTTCAAGGAGGCAGGGTCTGGTCCTGGAAGAGCCACTGGGACAGAGCCCCTGTGGGTGGGGTGGAGGTTGCAATTCTCAGTCCAAGTCTGGGCCCTAAGCTGGGTCCCCACAGGAGGAGGGCTCACCAACTCAGACTTCAGGTGCGGTCACTGATGGTTGCTGGACCCACTGGACATATGGGGTCCTTCGTCTAGGAGTGGGGCAGGGAGCCCTCCGCCCTCAGGCAGTTGTGGAAAATGAAGGAGCCCTGGAGGGCTGCCTGGAGGGTGATGATCATCCCTCTTGGTCAAAGGGCTGGAACCCTCCCGCAGCGTCCCATTCTCTCTGTCTGATCCTCTAGAGGCCTTACCCTCCCTTTGCCCCAAGTATTCCCGGCAGGGATGGTCCCCCCGGGTGTTCTCTAGGACTAAGGCCCCACAGTTCTCTTGTTCTTTCTTGGTGACCCAGGAAAACAAAGCCCCCTCCTGTACTCACAGCTGGGAATTGTGGTGTCCGCCATTCCTCCACCTGAGACGGGGTCTCCACGAGCACAGAGGCTGCTCCGGAGTCAATAGATCATCTTTTCCCCAAACCAAACTCCTTGACTGGCATTGTTCCTAAAACGGCTTCACTGGCCAGAGTGAATGAGAATTGGGGTAGAACGGAGCAGTCACCAGATGTCTTGCTTCCTACAGAAAACTGAGTATCTTCCTGGTTTCTGAACGATCCTAGAGAGATGTCCGGCCCCTGACCCCACCTGCCTCCAGGGGTCCAGAACTGCCCATCGTGGGCCCTTCACCCTCTGCAAGTGGACACTGTTTGTCCTGCTGGGGCAGGTGTGTGTCCGCCTTGGGGTGTTTGGGGACAATGGGCCTCTCTGTCCCCGAATGGGTCTCCATGTGTTCAAGTCCTCAGGAAGGAGCCCACCACTGGTTGGAGGCAAGGACTCCAGAGATCCAGCCAGGGGTGGGGTCACTGAGTCTGGCCCCTTGTCATCTGGGAGGGGTGGTGGAATGCGGCTCATCAGACTGGAGTGTGTCTGGGAATGAAGTGAGCGTGTTTCGGCTGTTCTCTGGAGCTCTCAGGGGCAGCAGAGCCTTTGGATGACTTTGTCTTGCAGGATGGAGATGGATGAGGACCCGGATACCCTGCCTGCCCAGGAGCAAGGCAACATCATCATTACCAAGTATGAGCAGGTACAGGTCGCGCCACTCCCTCGAGGAAGACAGGGCCTCACCTCTCCCTCTGCACCCTGGTCAGAGGGTCCTGGACTCCGTAAGATCACAGGGCGTGGAGGGGCTGCCAACATCCCTGGGACCCCACACCTCTCACCTTTCACCCCCCACCCCCTATCCTGGCCTTCTCTGAGTTTCAGGGACACGGAGCTGGGGCAGCAATGGACATGAGGCATGAGCAGGTTGACATCGGGAAATACACCAATCACCTTGGGATTGTGCAGTGAGACCTCTGCCCTCCTGACCCCAGCCACCAGTCTCACCTCAGGGATGGGTTTTGTTTCTAGAAAGGCCTCTCTAAAGCAGGACATGTCTCCCTTGGGGGGCCAACCCCCTCTCCAGGGTCAGAACTTCTCCCAGGCTCTCCTGCAGGTCCAGGCTGTGGTCAGTGTTAGGGCACAGCCTCGTGACACGTTTAGGGAGCTCGGGAGAGTGGGTACGGACAGACAGGGGACTAGGACAGGCCCTTGGGCTCTCAGCATTGTGGTCTCCAAGTAAGCAGGAGAAGAGGGGGCAGCCTGAGGGTCTGGCCCTGTCTCCTTGGGGCCTGCCTTGGTGAGATCTGAGGGTTGTGGCCACAGGGCAGGGGTATATCTGGCCTGGCCTGTGGGCAGCTGTATAGCAGACTTCTGAGGGCTCAGGGGGCTCAGCCAAGAGGAAGGGGCATGGGGACAGTGAAGGCCTTGGCCCTGGCCCTGGTAGGTTATGGAAGAAGAAGGGCAGGGCCCTGGCCTGGGCTTCTCACTGAGGCCAGGGAGACAACAGAGCGTGTAGCTGAAGGCCCTGGGAGTGGTGCAGGGAAGGGACCTGGGCCTGGTAAGGGGAGCCCAGCTTGGAGCCAGCCTCTCAGGACACATAAGATGGAGAGAGGGAGGAGCCTGGGGGAGGGGGGCAGGGTGAGCCCGTGAGACCTGCCACTTCTGGAACGCACCTGAACCAAGCCAGCCCAGGGAGAAGCTGACAGCCTGAAGAGGACAACACACGGGGTGGGGCAGGGAACGGTGGCTCACCTGGGACCCCTCAGTGGGGGGACTCGGTCAGTCCCCAAGGCTCTGCGTGGCCCTCCAGAGACTCTGCTTCCCACTAGCTAAGTCAGCACCTCGCAGGGTAGACTAGTCAGGGCAGGCAGGACAGTAGGGGGAGGACAGCCAGGCGTCGCATGTCCTGGTTTTTGCAGTGGCTGGGAGGAGGCTGAGGGCTGAAGGCCAATGACCCTGAGAGCCAGCTGAGGCTGGAGCGGTAGTGGTGGGGCCAGCCCCACTGCCTGCAGGGCCCTTGGTCACCCCTGTTGCCCTGGATGTGTCCCCAGCAGCGCTGAGCAGCCCAGTGAGAGAGTGACCAAGGCATGGGTGTGGATGGATCTGGGAGGTCTCACTCAGAGGTTCTGACAGGACAAGGGTCACAGAAGGGCCAGGGTGGCCGGAAAGAGGGTCACAGTCTCTGGGTCGGGAAGGATGGGGGAAGATGGGGAGCAGGCAGGGTCAGTGGCCAGGATGCAGGGAAAGGCAGGTGCACGCTGGGAGGTCAGACCCTGCAAGGCCTATGGGGAGTGTCGGATGGCACAGGCTCCAGGTGCATCCTCAGGGCACCGGGCAACACTCACACCAGGCTCCTTGGTCTCTGGTGGGTGATGTGGTCACTCTGAAAGCACTGCTGTAAGTCAGGGCTTGGCCACCCACCCGGGGCGGCACCCATCTCATCTCAGAACTGGAATTTCTCAGCATCTACAGAGGGTGTTGCCTCCAGCCCTGGAGGAGCAGCCCCATTGTGCAGCCCGAGGTGCCCCACGGGCCCCGAGTGGCCGCTGCCAGGCCAGCCTCGAGCTCCCTCCTCTCCAGGGTCCCAGTGCCTCGCAGGTGTCAGATCTGCAGGAAGGCCCTTGCCATCCTTCTCTGTGTCTTCTCCCAGGCTGAGACTTAGGGTGGATGGGGATAAGCTGGTCCTTCCCTGGGGCCCTCTCAGGGAGGGGTTGGCTCCTGGCCCGGGCAAGTCCTCAGCTCTGTCTGGGTTGCCTCTCATTGAGACGGAACTGCCCCCTGTCAGTGCCCTGGAGGTGAAGGTAAGAGCCTGTGCCTACTGCGTGGGAGGCCAGTCCAGGGACCAGGAATCAGGGGTGGTTGGTGAGGCAGAGGGGGTGGCCCATGGGCCCGGGCAGTGGTGAGTTGGCCACGACTGTCACTGGGAGGGGCGGCCTTTCCTGCTGGACTCTGTTCCCATGCGGGCTTGACCAAAACCCAAACCAAGAATTGCAGTTTTCGCTCAGAGTCCACTGCCTGATTGCACCAAGTCCCCAGCTGAAGGCTGGGACCTGACCAAAACTGGGAGCATCTGTGCCCTGAGGATGGCGTGTCCTGGCATCACCAGTCCAGACCACCAGCTCCAGTTCCTTCAGAGGGTCTCAGCCCCCAGGGTCTGCCCTTTCCTGGCTCCTTCAGGGCCCCAAAGCCCAGGACCCAGCATCCACGGGCCACTGTCAGAGGCCTGGCAGCTCCGCTAACCCCATCATGGCTCATTTGACAGCAAAGATGTAAGGAAAGTAAATGTACCAACAAGTGGCGAAAGATGCTTGCAGACTGAACAAAATATAGGAGCAGCAAGAAGGTAACATGGGGAGGGAGTGGCCCCCGTGACTGCTCTCTGCATAGCCAGGAGACAGGCACCCACGGCTGTGACCTGGCACGGTCTGCCTCTCAGTGGGTGGATGGCACCCTGTTCTTACCATACGACAGCAGGCCTGTTCGCCAGCTTTCCTCCCCGGAGCGCCCTGCGTCCTGTCTCACTGGAGTGTTCTTCTGTCTGTAGCTTTTTCAAAGAGTGAACGAAGGCATTCCTCTGGCTGTGCAGGGCCGGGCATGGTCACTCCTGCTAGATACTGACAAAGTCAAGTTCCAGAACCCAGGGAACTATAAGGTAAGGCCCTCCCACACTCAGCCAGGGCAGGACAAACAAGCCAGGCTGTATCAGGAGCCCAGTACTCCAGCTAGAGGGAACGTCAAGCCTGGGTTGGGGGTGGAGGCTGTGGTCAGACACGCATCCTGGGCACAGATGGTGACTCAGGCACCTCAGGTGCGCTGGGCTCTGCTGAACCTCCCTGGCATCAGAAACAAGGCAAAAAGGAGCTTTCTGCAGAAGGAAACCTTCCTCCCTTCCTTCCAGAAGTGCTGACAGATAACTGCTGTTTGGGGCAAGGAGTCTTTTTGTCATTCTGAGGCTGCTTCCTCCTCTTGGACCTGCCCTACAGGTCATGAAGGAGAAGGGCAAGAGGTCCTCCAGGATCACCCACCGCATCGAGCTAGATGTCAGCAGCACCCTACAGAACCATATGACGTTCATACAAAGATCTGGAGTCAAGTAAGGCCTATGAGGGTTGCAGGGGTCACAGGGAAGATGGGGGCAATCCAGAGGAATGAGGGTGTCCCCAGGGCAGAGGCCAGGGTCACCCAGGAGGGGTGACAGAGCCACCAAGGGCTCTCCTGGCCCAGGGAGCAGCCAGCACCATGGACTGCGCACCTCCCCGGCTCTAAGCCCTGAGTTGGGCTGAGACGTGTAGGGCCAGAACCCAGGTGACTCCCAAGGAGATGGAAGGCAGGAAAAAATAATAATAATAATGCAGACGATGAAAAGTGCTTTCCATGACCCACAACTACCCAGGGTAGGGACCCATGGGAAGGTGGCAGGATGGTGGGGCTCAGGAGCCTTCCTGGGCAACACTGACAGCCCAAAATACCGGGATGCGGGACCCCGGAAACTCTCATCCATGGCTGGTGGGCACGCAACAGGGCACAACCACTTTGTAAGTCAGATGGGCTGTGGCTCACAAAGCTCGGTGGCCTCGTACCACACGTCCCCAAAGTGTCACAGATATTGACCACACTGATTTGAAAACCGACGTCCAAGTAAAACCTGCACGCCACGTTCACTGCTTGGTTGACTGTCACTCACACCTGGAGGCTACTGAGATGATCTTCTACACAGGAACTGGGGAGGAAGGGGGTTCCACTCTTCAGATAGAGATGACTCGGTGAGGAAAAGGAATGAGCCCCTAGTGCCCGCAGGAACATGGGTGGATCTCAGATGTGTGTTGCTGAGGGAATGAAGCCAGACCCATCAGACTACCACCATGGGGTTCCAATTCATCGGCCATTTTGGATGAGGGCAACCATAGAGACAGAGAACAGGTCAGGATGGCCAGGCGCTGACGGAGCTGGGAGATGTTGACTGCAAAGGGGACATGCTGGGGACTTGGAGGATGAAGGAGCTTCTCTGGGAGGGGCTGCAGTGGTGGACGGGAGGCTCTGCACATTGGTTCAGAACCGTGGAACTGCACATCCCCAAAACTGGACTTCCGTGTGTCCAAACCAAGAAAAAAGGCAAGAAAAAATCAACCAGAGTGAAAATGATCACTGATCCAACTTTACATCTGTGATATTTGCATTGCAAAGAATGTGGATTTTACTGAGAAAACACCTAAAAACTCAAGTGTCCTGAACAGCCCCCTGCTTATTTGGGGGATCATCTGGATCCAGAATTGTGTTTGTTGTCCAGGTCTGTAGACAAAATGAAACTGACAGCATCTGCACAAAACAAACAAAACCCTCTTTTCCCTCTTTTCTAGTCAGCAGGAATTATGTGACATCGTCGTGGCCTATTCTGCATATAACCCTGCGAGTATTCCCGGGCAGCGATATTCCTGGGCCACGTGCCCATATTCACAGGCATGGGTGTCTCTCAGGGGTGTCAGCACTTCTTGAAAATTCAGTGTTCGTGACCCACCAGCACGTAGTAGGGAGGACTCAAGCTCACTGCTGGCAGAAAAGGGTTGAGGCCCAGACTCCTGCTGTCACCTGGACCCAAACACCACGTCTCAGATGAAGAAATTACCTTCCTCTCAAGATGTTGCCCCAAAGCCTAGGAGCTTGTCAGGGGCCTCATAGGATGGTCCTCAGGACCTTGCAGGATGGTCCTCCTCCAATAGGAGACAGGTTTGAGAAGTTGCTGAGGTGCCTGATGGACCAGGCTCTTGTCATGAAATGAGTTTGCATCCTGGGGGAGCCTCTTCTTACTGGAAACTTGGCAATGATCCAATTTCCCCTTTGCCCAGACCCCATAGGAGCATAGCAGATAGGGAGGGTGTCACCCAGGTGGCTGCTCCTGCATGGCACCTACTTTTCAGACCATTCCAGGCAGGGACAGCCGCTGAGCCGACCGCATGAGCTGTCCACATGGAGGACCCAGCCGCCCCCTGTGTCTGGCAGGCAGCCCTTGGGGGGTTGCAGGACCCTTTGTGTGGTGGTCAGTGCCCCGCTGCCTGCCCTCGTGGCAGGTGCAGTTCAGAGGTACTGCCCCAGGTCTGGCATAGTGGGCTCCCCAGCCTGGCCCAGGGTAGGGAGCATGAACAATCCCTGACTGTGCCCTTTCAGGCCATGTGAGCTTGGACGCTTGCTGCAGGAGTGCCCCCAGGCTCCTTGTCAACTGAGTTGTGCGTGACCTGCTCAGTCCTCATGCCCAGTGCCAGGGGAGGGGTGTGGAGGCTGCACCTCAAATCCCCTGGGGCCTGAGGCAGGTGTCCCCAAGGACCTCTGCCATCTCTGGTGACATAAGTCCTCCCAGGTGGCCTCAGTCCTCCCAGGTGACATCGTTCCACAGTGACTCTGGCTCTCACAGGAGGTGGGCTACCACAGGGACCTGAGCCTCATCACTGCCATCCTCCTCCTGTATCTGCCAGAGGAAGACGCTTTCTGGGCACTGACCCAGTTGCTGGCCGGTGAGAGGCACTCCCTGCAGGGTAGGTGGACAGCTGCCCCCGAGGCCTTACACAGCCATGCCAGGGGACGGCCACCCTGGTCAGTGACCCCAACTTCCAGGCAAGGTGTCTTCCTTGTATCCCAGCTTGTTTGGAGCCTCCAGGATGTCCCTGCTGAGGTCCCACAGCAGCGTGGGTCTGGACAGGGACCTCCACACCTCAAGCCAGATACCTTTCATCCCTAACATCAGAGGACATGGATACCTCCCTCTGGCTGCCCTCTGTTGCACGAAGCCAGCCCCGACTTTGTGCAGGTGCCACTCACTTCCCTGAGTGTCCTCCTGCCTCCCAGCTGGCTGTGCTCCCAGCCACTTTCCCTCCCTACAGATGGGCCAACAAAGCCAAGAAGGCAGTGTCTGCCCATCCCATGTCCCCCAGGCTGACCCCACATCCAAGAGACAGTCACACAGCCCCCAGCTCCCACCCTGTTCTCCCCGCTGGCACCTGCCTCATGGTGTCAAAGGCAGGCTGCCCTCCTGGCACCTGGACCCAGGATGCCACTGGGCAGTGCCTCCAGCCAGGGCCTTCCTCCCCAGGGCTAAGGCTGCATGCTGGGGTCACCAGATGGGAGGGAGGGAGGCCTCGGGGTCCAGGGTTCCCCACCCTGCCCAGCTCTTCCAGCTGATGCCTCCATATCTTGGGAGTGGGGTCTGATGGGGTGTTGGGTCAGGGGCTTCTCAGTATTCTACAGCCCAAATACTGCACAGCTTGGGAGGCTCCTATCGCACCAGGAGCAGGTGTTGCACAAGTCCTTCCTGAAGATCATGAGATACCTGGTGAGTGGGTGACGCCCTCCACTCCTCCCCAGAGGCTCTGGGTCCCATAGGCCAGGGGAGGCTCGAGTCCCTCATGGTGCTGGCAAGAGGCTGAGTCCCAGCCACGGCCTGACCTGGGATGGGGATTCCCCATGGGTTCAGCATTGGGTTTCCTTTTCCTGCCCTGGCAGAGGCAGAGGCACTGGTACCAATGCTGAGCTGCAGCTGAGCAAGGCTAAAGGATGTGTGTCCCCTGGGCATCCATGCATGGGGCAGGTGTCGGACCCCTGGCCACTGCCTTGGGTTCTGCTCCTTGAGGAAGGGTCTGCAGAGGGACCTGGAAGTGGGAGGATTTCAGGGCAGCCCAGGGGGCCCTGAGCACCTCTGCTCCTCCTTTCAAGGCAAGGAAGGGCTGTGCATTGAGGGTTCCATGCTGACAAGTCTCCTCCGGTGTTTCCTTGATGGGGTAAAGAGGCACAGGGAGACCCCAGCCCAGGGACTCTCCTGCCCCACAGTGCCCAACTCCCTCAGCTCAGGGGTCCAGCTCCCCCAGGAGGACCTGTCTCACCCCCAGCCCACAGGAGGCACAGGCAGGTCCCTGCAGGGCTCACAAGCCAGGCCCTGCCCAAGATGGGGGCATCCCATGGCAGAGTCCAGGGCTCAGGCCCAGCCTCGTGGGCAGATTGGGGCAGGACTTGGGAGGGCCCAGGGAAGCCCGAAGTCCTCAGGAAGCCCCTCTTTCCAGAAGCCACAGCGCTGCTGAGATGAACACACCATACGGAGCTACAAGACCTTGTCTGACTCAGTGTTATGGGGGGGTCTCATCCCATGGAGAGGGGGTCCCCAGCACTCCAGGGGACTGAAACCCCAGTGGGCCCTGCTCAGGCCACCGGCCCCAACTTGGAAAAGCCAGGTCCTCCCACACCTACTGTCCCCACAGAAGTCCTTCGGGCTCACCCTGAGACTGTGGGATGTGTTTATCTTGGAGGGTGAGTGGGTACTGACGGCCATGGTGCATACATCATTCAAAATACACAGGAGTAAGTCCCGTGTGCCTGAGGGTGCCCGGGGGAACACGTGGGACAGACCCTAGCTGGCCTGAGGGAAGTGTGCTTACACTGCCTGCTCCATCCGGATGGGGGGTCTGGCCTGGTGGGTTGGGCAAGGCATGATGACACTAAGTCCACCCCCCACATGACCCAGATGAAAGTCAGGAGTGTGGTGAGCACTTCCTTGCCCGGCCTTCCCCAACTGTAGCCTCCTGTTCACAGCTGGACCCCGGGGTGGCCAAAAAGAAGCAAAGAAGCAGGCACCACCCAGTGGGAGGTGGGCCTGGTGCAAATGGGGTGCAGGCACGACCTCTCCCAGGGAACCCTCCTGGCCTAATGCCCACCCTGTCCCTAGAGCGCCTCATGAAGCTTTCCTGGAGCACCTTCTGGGAGTTTCAGGAGCGACTCTCTCAGAGCTGGGCCCTGGAGGACAACGCGGTCCTCAGGAACCTTCAAACCTCCATGAAGGAACTCACAAGGAAACACTGGGACCTGCCACCCTCAGGTGAGCCCCAGCACCAGGTCCCCTCCCGAGTCACCCTCTGGGGCAGTCAGTGGTGGGGAGTGCCCTGGCCCCATCAGCCCTCCTACCTGGCCTTCCTCCTGCACCTCTTCTTCCTCCTCTTCCTCCTCTACTCTAAGAAAGTCAAAAGGGTCTGCCAGTCCTCAGGGCAGGCACTGAGTGCATGCATGTGCTGGACATGCTGCATGGACAAGCAGGGGCCATGGGCAGGACCCCCCAACACCCCTTCCCCACTTTCCACATTGTCCTCTCCTCCTTGAAGGGCCCTGAGGGACACTGGGGCAGTCAGACCCCACTGTAGAAGCCCCCACCCCCACCCCCACCTCCAAGCAGCAGGGACCCCTCATTCTCTAGTGTCAAAACAACAAGCCAGGGGGACAAGAGAATCAGTGTCCCTGACCCAGAGAGGATTCGGGCAGAGGGCATTGGGAGAATCCCTGACCCAGAGCCAGAACCAAGAGTTCAGCCGGGTGTGGGATAGCTGCAGCCCTGGCATGGGGTGGGTGGCCTGGAGGGCAGAGGAGAACATGTGCCCATTCACTTCTCACCCGCTGTGGAGACAGGCCCCCACGTGAGGTGACAAGGGGGCAGGGTGACAGTGCAGATCCCTCCCACCTGAGTCCTGAATCGGGGCTGCCAAACTGCCCTGAGGTGAGGGTGTGAAGCAGGAAGCCCTGAGCCACCCTGAACCCTGGGGGCATTTCAGGAGCAACCTCAGGTTCCCCGAAAGCTCCCCCACCCCAGACTGCACACGGACCGCGCCCTGGGATCAGCAGCCTGCAGGGGCGTCCTCAGTGTCAGGCCAGGGGGCCGCACAGGGACCCAGAGGACTCCAGAGACCCAGAGACCCAGGCCTGTGGGGCGTAGCCCTCAAGAGACCAGATGGGCTTGGAGAAGATGCTGACCATGTCTGCTGCTTTTTTTCAGCGGAGCAGGTGTCCTCGAGGGTGTTCCCTGGCATTGAGACCCTCTGTGAAGGAGACAGACTGGCCGTCCCCACTCCACCAGCTCAGCTCCCGGAGCTCATGCCATCAGTCCCCCTGGGACAAAAGCCTTGTCCTCTCCCAGCCTGGCCCGATGGGGCTGTCCCCAAGGCCCAGGCCCAGGCCCATCAGCACGAAGGGGCTTCCCCAGAGCCCAGAACAGAAGACTGCTCTCTGGGAGGCCAGAGGCTCGAGATGAGGGCAGCCTGTCCCTTGGTGAGGTCAGGCTTTCTATTACATGGAAACACTTGTCCAGGAACACTAGGCCACAGCTCCACACAGACCTACATGTCGGGGGTCCATGTTTCCTGTGCTGCCATTTTGAACACGGCTCCTGGGACTCTGTCACTTCTCCATCTTCTGTGGACAGCAGCCCTGGAACAAAAAGACGCACCCCACCCAGCGAGCCCACTGGGACCCCGACGCCAGGCCCTGCCGGGGTTTATGACAGAGAGGAGGCACTTTGAAAGACACCAAGCAACAAGGTGTCCCCTGTCTGCAACTCCCCTCAGTAGAAGAACAACATGGCATGGAAGGAGCCCAGGTGGCACCCGCCTAGCTGCCTTGCAGCCCCAGATGGCTGCTGGCTGTTTTTTACTGATGTTTTATTTTTATTTTATATTTTTGGCTTCTGGGCCTTGGGAAATACTCAATGGTGAACTTGGTCCCATCAAGGCCTCTGGAGGGAGCTGAGCATGGGGTTCCTGCAGCCCCAGCCAGCCAGCAGCGTGCCCTGGGGCTCCTGACCCCATCTGTGGGTCACAGCCCCTCCTCCAGGGCCCAAGTCCCCGGCCCAGAGGGACCTGGCTTCATCCTGAGTACTAGGAGGAGAGGGGCACCATAGGCCCCCAGGTGACCACACAGGGGACCAGGGCACAGCGAGCGTTGGGTGCTGCGAGAATTCACATCAGACAACCTGGACAAGCAGGGCCAGAGATGCTGAGCCCGTACAGTGATGATATGGGCGGCTGGCACAAGGGGTTAACAGCTGTGAACACTGACGCCTCTTCCCAACTCCATCACTGCACTGCAGGCAGTCTGCACCCCAAAGCCTGGCCCAACAACGCCCCAACATGCCACCTGGAGGCTTTGAGGCCCTGCCTACCACACCACCCTCCTCCTGGAAGCCTCGTCCTGCAGCCTAGCCGCTGCTGCAGCCATAGCAGCTATCACTGCCAAGCACCTTCCAGACGGGCTTCCCAGAAGGCGGAGGAGCCTCAGCAGCTCAGACTGTGAAGGTGGTTTCATCCACATTTCCATTGTTCCACCAAAGAGAATCCCTGCAGAGGATGCTCTTGATAAAAGGTGGGCAAAATGGCACACCAGGTAGATGCAGTCAGCTTCTTTTCTGGCCACCACATTAGGTTGGGGACAAAGTGACCATCAGACAGGCATGGGACACAAGAGGCTCAGCATGCTGCATGTGCCCTGACCAAGGCTGACCAGGCCGACACCACTGCCGAGCATCCCATCTGCTGATGAGAGACTTGGTGTCAATCCCTGGGCTGACCCTGTTTCCCAGGAGGACCGGTTGACCACCTGTGGGCGCACTGCCCACACTGTGGAGGGAGCTGAGATTGGCCTTCACTGCAGGGAGCCCCTACCTGGATATAGACTTGCTCATCCTTCCTGTCACCATCATGGCAGCCCACATGGCATTGCTTTTGACCAGGTCATTTCATTCACAGCGAGGGACATGCAGCAGTGGCCCCTGACCAGGGAACTAACTGTTCTCACTACGTCAGCCACCACCTGGAAGCAACTGGGTTTGGCTTAGGATCACTTAGTTGCGATCGTAACTGGAGTTGCTGAAGTGATAGTTTGTTTTACAAGATAAATGTTATGCTTTCTACTGGAAACCAGTGTACAGTGCTGACTCCCTGACAGCCAGAAGGTGTAGTTCTGAAAGTGAAAGTGTGAAAGTGGACGATGTTCAGTATTGCACCAAATGTCTTAGTCACAGTTTTCCTATGCCTGTCCTGGAGAAATGGAGCTTTGCTGGTTGGAAGGTCTGAGGACCCAGGCAGAGTGAAGCTTCCCCCAGGGGAAGACAACATTGGTTCTATTTAATATGAAGAGACAGAACTAAGTCTGAAACCCTGGAGCACTCTCTGGTGTTCTTGGTGTTTCCGTGTAAAGAAAGTCAAATAGGCTGGGCTTGGTAGCTCATGCCTGTAATCTCAGCACTTTGGGAGGCTGAGGCAGGAGGATCAAGGATCTGGTCAGGAGATCCAGACAATCCAGGCTAACACAGTGAAATCCCGTCTTAACTAAAAATACAAAAAACTGGCCAGGCGTGGTGGCAGGCACCTGTAGTCCCAGTTACTCGGGAGGCTGAGGCAGGAGAATGGTGTGAACCCAGGAGGCGGGGCTTGCAGTGAGCCGAGATCACACCACTGCACTCCAGTCTGGGTGTCAGAGGGAGCTCTGTCAAATAAAAGTAAAGTCAAATAACAAAGGTTTGCCACAGAGGCATCTGAAAAAGGAGGGGGCAGAACTTCAGAACTTAGAGGCTTCAAAATCAAAGATGAAGCCAAGCAGGAGACTCCTGGCCCACTGAGGGCAGGGGAAGTATGTGGGGGCTGCTAGGAGAAGACGTCATAGAGGTCCACCCCCACCTTGTGGTATGTCACAGAACCATGCACTTGAATAACTGTGCACATCTTCTCTCCACTGATTATAGTATTTCTTTCCATTTGTGATTCTCCAATCACGCAGGGAGCTTGCTACAAAATGCACATTGCTATACTATAGCCTGGGGCTTGCAATCCAAGGCTGGCAAGGATTCCTGCACATCAAGGGCCCCAGGTTACTTTCTTTTTTTTTTTTTTTTTTTTTTTTTTTTTTTTTTTTTTTGAGCCGGAGTCTCTCTCTGTCATCCAGGCTAGAGTGCAGTGACACGATCTTGGCTCACTGCCAGCTCCACCTCCCAGGTTCATGCCATTCTCCTGCCTTAGCCTCCCCAGCAACTGGAACTGCAGGCACCCGCCACCATGCCTGGCTAATTTTTTTTTTTTGGATTTTTGGTAGAAACGAGGTTTCACCATGTTATCCAGGATGGTCTCAATCTCCTGACCTTGTGATCCACCCGCCTTGGCCTCCCAAAGTGCTGGGATTACAGGGGTGAGCCACCGTGCCCGGCCACCTCAAGTGACTTTCATGCACACCCAAGTCAGAAGGCTGTCCTGAATCCTGAATGTCACCTTCTTGCCCAAAAAAGGAACGAGGGTCAACCAGCAGCAGACCAGTCACAAAAAGGGATGAAATGTGAGTGCGTGGCCTTCCTGACACCCAGACAAGACTTTAGGCACAAAGCCAGGCTGCAGCTCTGGCCACTGACTCCAACCAGGGATGCCCCCATGCAGGCTGGTGTGCCCTGGCTGCTCTTCTCCCTCCTGCCACCCTCTCCTGGGCTGTCTGTGTTAGGAAGGGACAACCTGCCAGTTTTCAGAAGAACATGTAGCTTTATTATGACATAGGAAAGACTCAAGTTATTAGGGGAGGAGGAGGAGTCCTGAAACAGCTCCTGAAATTGAGAGAAAAGGAAGGTGTAAACATGTTGGTAATAAAGTCTCCAATCACAGCACAGTCATGGGAATGTTTTTGTTACAATTTTTGTTTTCAAAGTTATAGTAAAAAAACAGTCTCTTGAATTGTCAAAAGAACGGTGGTTTCACACAATGAAAAGCATACACATCAAGCCAAAGTAAATCACACTTGGGTCTATATGTTGCAGTGGTGCTGGTGCAGGAGGGAACATCCAGGGGGGTTCCAGTGCCTGCCAGGGAGCCCAGGTCCACGGAGGGCCCCGGGGCTGGAGGGAGGTCATGTACCACTCAGCTCAAAGCGCTCCCTTCAGGCACCTGAAGAGGGAAAGCCCATGTGTCTTCCTGTGAAGCACTGAACGGGCAGCCAGCATCTCAGAAACGCAGGCGATTTTTCATACACTGGTGTGAATGAGTCTGGGGTCACCCAGGGGGTGGTCACCTCAGTGCTCAGACACACTTTGAAACAATCAACACCTACATAGGAGTGTACTAGGAAAAAGGAAAAATGTTTTCCTGAATTTCATAGCAGATTGGGAGCTAAAGGAAGAGATTCCCAAGCCCATCATGGAAATATTTTGTTCTAACAAAGTAAATTCACAAGAGCAATCAAACACAAGACCTAATGCAAGGGGCAGTGCCCATGGCCACTGCCTGCTTCAGGTAAGAAGTTCTTTAACAGCAGTCACAGGGCAATGCTTAGACAGGCAATGCCACAGTGAATAAGGGGGATTAACTTGGATACAAAAGTTTAGAGTAATGCCCACCAAGAATGCACATGGCTCCATCTCTCTTCCCAGTTCTAATGTTCTCAGAGCAACAGCCACCCCTGAACACAAGGGGAGACAGGAAAGGGCCCGGGAGCGTGGGGATTTATTTCTGGGTTCTCTATTCTTTCCCATTGGTCTATGTGTCTGTTTTTATGCTAGTCCATTGCTGTTTTGATTACTATAGTTCTGTAGTATAATATAGAGAAATACTACTGATTTTCGTACGTTAATTTTGTATCCTGTAACTTAACTCAATTTGTTTAACTATTCTATTAGTTTTCTGGTAGAGTCTTTAGGTTTCTCCAAATAGAAGATTGTATCATCTGCAGACAAAGAGAATTTGAGGTTTTCCTTTCCAAGTTGGATGCAGAGCTGTTATTTCAGGCCATTTTCCAAGCTCAGTGGTTTTTGTCAGAATTCAGTTCCTGTAGTTACAGGACTGAAGATTCTGGTTTCTTTTTGCCTGTCAGTGGAGATTTGTTCTCAGCTCCTAGAGGTGGCCCACCATTCTATGGCATGGAGCCTTCCCTACAGCATGGTAATTGTTTACCATGGAAGAAAATCTTAGAAGAAATCTTCATATCATACAGTTCCCTCTAAATTTCAAATGTTCATATTATCCCTAAAGGCAAAATACATTTACTCCCTCCCAAAAATTTTGTCTCATCATCAGCTCCAATCCACTGGGCAGGTGTGTGACCTCAGGCAATTGCTTGGCCTCTCTGTGTCTTCTCATCCTCCTTTGGTAGGAGGCTACCTAGGCCCAGTGAAGGCAGAGGGCCTAGAACTGTGCCTGACACAGAGCTACACATGCCAGGATCTCAGGAGCCCTAGAGGGAGTCCCGTCACACCCCGTTTCACAGAGGAGGATGCAGACATCAGAGTGACTAAGACACCTGCTCGATGCCACAGGGCACGAGGGGGCAGATGGGGCCTGGAGGACCCCGATCCCACACTCACAGGATCCCTGTCCAGTGCGCTCCTGTGGGTAGATCAAGGCAGTGCTGCCTCCAGGACCACCTTCCTCTTTCCTGCACCAGCCAGGCATCCCCTGGGCAGGGACCACAGCACCACGGCACCCACCCTTGGCCAGGCCTTCCAGGTCCTCTCCAGAAAGTATCTTGGCACCACCCTGTGGCATCAGTGCTCAGCAGCTCAAGGCCCATGGGGGTGGACCAGGGCCCTGCTGGCTGTGGGCAACGCTGGTCCAGGCCCAGCGGCCTCCCGCAGGCAGGAAGTGACCAGAGGACAAAGAGACCTACTGGGAGTACCCACTGGGAGCCTGATGAGCACCTCCAGCCAACCTGGGAGGCCTGGCCACAGACACCCCCATCTCCCCACCCTGTGCCCCTGGTCCCGCTGTGCCAGCGTGAGACCAGGGGTGGGGGCAGCCAAGACACACTTCCCCCAGGCTGCTGTCTGCAGCTGGACGCTTCCCAGAACACTGGGAAGTAAACTCCAGGAAACAGCTTGTCCCTTGGCACCAAGGCGGCCGTGGCCTCCTGTGGAACAGAGCATTCACTGGCGCTCGTGCGTCCATTGCTTGCCTGTTCGACCATCGTTCCTCAGCCACTGAGGGCTTGGAGCTGGGTATAGGCCCTGCAGCAAACCTGGGTTCTGAGGGTCAAGCTCCCAGGGAGCTTGGGCAAGACGCCCCAGAAAGCCCAGGAGTAGAGGACACTGGTTCCCATGAGGGGTTGTTTGCTCCATTTTTAAGGTGGGAGGGAAACAGGTTCAGAAAATGACATGAAGCCTGGGCAACATGAGGAGACCCCATCTCTACCAAAAATTAAATCATTAGCCAGGCAAGGTGGTATGGGCCTGTGGTCCCAGCTACCCAGACGTTTGGGGGGGGATCGCTTGAACCCAGAAGGTCCAGGCCACAGTGAGTTATAATTGCACCACTTCATTCCAGCCTGGGCAACAGAGCAAGATCCTGTCTCATTTGGGGGGAAAAATGACAGAAGTGCTCCAAAGTCACACCGAAGCCCTCACTCTGCCTTGCCAGTGCCCCACTCACCTGCAGCATGGCACAGAGGACTCCACAAGTCCCCAGGGCCACTGGGCTGGGGGGCAACAGGATTTCCAGGCCCTGAGAGGGCCAGACACCAGGCCCAAGATGCTACCTTGGAGGGGACCCTTGGCTGTGTGGCCCTGATCCCTGGGAAAGGCAGCAAAGAGTGCAGGCGTCTTGGTGAGAGCGCCTGGCCTACACCAGAGACCACTCTGCAGCCAGAGAGCTGGCGCGGCCTCCCTGGGCCTCAGTTTCCTCGTCTGGAAGGTGGGATCGTGATGTACCCACCTCGCGCACAGGTGGAGTGCGGAGGAAGTGGGAAGACCCGTGGAAAGTGCTTCTTCAGCACAGTGTTCAGAACATCGAAGGCACTCAGGAAACACTACTTAACAGTATTGATTACGATTTTATTACCCATGTTAATTTATATATTTATATTGATAAATATTATCTAGTTACTATAAAGTTATTGTGTTTAGCATTTGTCTTTATGAATGTGCAGGGAGGCCCAAGCCATCTGCCACAAAGACACACTGGTGTCAGGGGCAGGAGAGCCAAACTCTGGGGGAACAGGACCCCAGGTAGGGAAGTCATGACTGAGGTGAGGCAATGGCTGTGCGCTTGCCCAATGCCAGGAAGAAAGGACCCTCAGCTCCAGACAGTGCAGCCGAACAATGGAACCAGCCTCGACAGCAGGAGAAAGTGCTTCCTGCATTC